CAATGGATGCAATAAAGCAATGGTGGGACGAGCTGACTGTGGCAGGACCTAGTCTAGGATATAACCCAATTGCCAATAAGGGCTGGCTTATTGCCAAACCTGGAAAGGTGTAAAGCGCTCGAGTAATTTTTGAAGGAACGGCGATAAACATCACTACACACAGGGCCAAAGGCATCTCGGAGCAGCCTTGGGCTCTCGAGGATATCTAGAAGAATATATCGGTAGTAATGTGGAGAAATGGGTAAGCCAAATAGTCAAGCTAGCTGAATTTGCCATCTCACAACCACAGGCATGCTATGCAGCATTCTCTTTTGGCTTGCGGCACTTACAGTACGATTAGGAGGGCTTGGAGTCATAAATTCCAGTCAGGATGTGAATCTACAATATCAAGCGTCAATCAAAACCACAGCGCCACTAATGGAGAAAATAGTTTCATAAGACCATCAAACACCAGACGACTCCGTTGTAACCTCATTACAGCAGACTGTGCGAAGGGAGAAAAATGAAATTCTTCAGACAAAGCTGAAAGACATAAAGAACTCTCTTCCTCGGAAGACACAACAGGCTGTTGAACTTGCAAGTGAAAAAGGTGCATCCAATTGGCTTACAGTCATATACCGATCGATGACATGGGCTTTAACCTGAACAAAGGCGAATTTCGTGACGCTCTAAAGCTCAGATACAACTGGGAAATCATCGACAAGCCGTATGTTTGCGTTTGTGGCGATATCTTCACTACTGACCATGCTATGATACAGCTGCACAATTAGGTAAGAGACTTTGAGGTAGACATGCTGAGCATGGTTTGTAACGACGCAGAGATTGAGCCCGTCCTTCAGGAGTTCAATGGCGAGTCGCTGCCAAGCGGAGCTAACAGAGCTCCAGATGCTCACCTAGACATCAACGCTAGAGGTTTTTGGGAAAGGCAAAGGTCACTGCGTTCTTTGACGTTCGTGTCTGCTACCCCAACCGAGCGCTGATTCTTATCGAGACCTGGACCTTAAACAGATATACAAGCAGCATGAGAATGAGAAGAAGAGATTACACACTCGGAGAGTGATGGAATTAGAACACGGAACCTTTGCACCCTTTTTTAAAATATTTACAACAACAGGCGGAATGGGATAAGAATGTAAGGGTATCATAACAGATTGGCAGAATTAGTCGCGGCGAAGAAAGGCGATGACTATGCTACCACTGTCTCTTGGATACGGCCCAAAGTCTCTTTTGCGATACTGAGGTCAGCTGTACTCTGTAAGAACTAATATCCAAGAAGCGGACTTTGAACTAGATAGATATCGTGCTAAAATATAATTTTATTTTTTTATTTACAAGTTGTACGTTTATTTAAACAGTTTCCTTTTCCACTATATTCTTTTTAATATTTTACTATACATTTACTCAACTCTTTTCATTTATTCAAGATTGCATATAGTGTTTTTTGAGAAATAAAGATTAGAATTATTATCTACAAAACTAACAAGTGACTTTAGGAGGCTAAAAAGGGATTTTCACCTTTGAAAATTGAATGAAAACTAATAATTGATGTCAGTTTTTTTTTGTTTTTTTGTTTTTTTTCAAGTTGCTGTAATAACGGGCATGTGTTTAAATTGTAAAGTTTGGGCCTCCTGTGGCTACTTTACAGCGCGAAAGACCCGGTGACGAGGTGAACTCGCGGTGTTTGTGTTTTTCTTTGGAAATGCTCCGTTTTCTTCGTTTAAAAATATGTAGACGATCTGGAAAATTGCTGCTAATTCCTATTGCTCTTTTTGCTTTGCTCGGTTTCTTTTCATTCGATAATTTACTGGAAAAGTCTGCGACAAAAACAAGAGGTAAGTTACACGAAGTCTCAAGGGACCGCTGTACTCGCTGTCAGTGTTACACTCATTAGCTCACTTTCGGCTTATTTTATTATATTTTAATATATTCTTGAGTATTTTTTGGTCTTTTCTGTATTTCGCCAATAATGTTTAAAGGGAGTTWACAAATGAGATTTATACTCGGGGATCACACGTGCAGGTTTATTTGTTTTAAAGTAAGCTGAAGTTTGATGAGCTACAGTAATTTTACAACAGATTGTCCTCAATCGAAGAATAGAGGCTTAAGAGTTTCACACATTTTAWAATAGTCCATCAAAGATCAATTTTACAAATGGGAGGGAAATAATAAACTATGTATACTGTATGTTTAGAATGTAATAGCATAAACCTACGAGGAATTGACAATTCGAAACAACAGTCAGATMAGACGTGCGTAGAAAGAACTTTTCGTTACCATGGTGGACGGTGTTTTAAAAGTTAATTCATTAATAAATTAAAATAGCACGTTTATAACACGGCCACCGATTGCTTGAACTGAGGGCCGTATGGACCGGAAAGTCAGCTGAAAGCAAAATATGTAGTCAAGACAATTTTTCCTTTTCCAACTAAACTGAAGAGGACATTTTTTGTAAATCCTTTGAGCGTCTATTTTACCGTCTGTATTTATTCGTAATAATTAGTTTTACTGTCTCTTGAGAAGTTACTTTCAGTTTCACATTTTTTTATCTATAAAAAGGATTTTCTTTAGATTTTCTCTAGAACTGTTTCTTAATTCCCTTTTTTGACTCATCAATCGCTTGGTTTATCTAGACTAGTTTCTAGTTTTCTATATTTCTCTTTAACTAAAAATTATCTACAAAATTAACAAGTTACTTTATAATGAGGCTRAAAAGGGATTTTCACCTTTGAAAGTTGAATGAAAACTAATAATTTGAAGTCAGGCATGTTTTTCAAACAAAAGGTAGAGTTTGGGTCCCCTGTGGCRTCTTTACAGCGCGAATGACGCGTTGTTTGTTTTCTTTGGAAATGCTCCGTTTTGTTCGTTTTAAAATATGTAGACGATCTGGAAAATTGCTGCTAATTCCTATTGCCCTTTTTGCTTTGCTCGGTTTCTTTTCATTCGATAATTTACTGGAAAAGCCTGCGACAAAAACAAGAGGTAAGTTCCACGAAGTCTCAAGGGACCGCTGTCAGTGACACAAACATTATAGTTTACTTTCGGCTTATGAAATATATTTTAATATAACCCTTGAGTAYTTTTTGGTCTTTTTATTTATTTCGCTAATAAAATTAAAAGGGAGTTTACAACTGCGATTTTTACTCGGGGATCACACTTGCAGGTTTATTTTTATTTTTAAGTACGCTGAAGTTTGACAGATGAGCTACAGTCGAAAGAATAGAGGCTTAAGTGTTTCACACATTTTAAAATAGTCCATCAAAGATCAATTTTACAAATGGAAGGGAAATAATAAACTATGTATATGTTTACAGTTATATGTTTAGAACGTAATGACATAAACCTACGAGGAATTGACAAATCGAAACAGCAGACAGACGTGCCCGGTGTTGGGGGGAGGGGGGAGGGGGGGATTTTCTCTGTATCAGGGTCAAGGTTTAATACCGGAATTATCGACGCTTGATAAAAATTCACGGGGTAAAAATTCAGTCTACACGCAGGGTAGTGCTGGATTTTACTCTGGAACAGGGTATAGTTTTCAGCGATTTCACTCTGCAACAGGGTCAGGGTTTTGAGATCCCAGTGGCACACCCCCACCCAAGTTGGGGGGAGTACGCCCCCCTGAGCAGACATGCTTTAATATAGAAAGAACTTTTCGTTTGTCTGGTGCACATTTTTCTATTGTTTTGCTAAGCTTAATGGGAAGGAGAAAAAAGAAAAAAGGTAGTCACCATTTCTTTTGTTACAGTAAGTCCTTCCCTTGATGCCGTTCACATGCGAGATAGGGGAGAATGACTGGAGATGAGTCATMAAGGAATCTGTGAAACATCCTCCTGTGGAGGGTATACAGGGGRACACACAGGAAACCCTAATGGGCTGTATTTTGGGATGTATGATTTTTGTTCTTTATGGAAGCATAAAAGTTATCMACAACAAGGATAGATTCAGGATTTGTTTGTAAAGGAGGACTATTGTAATTTTGTCTCTATTATGAAGGGAACTAAATAGTAATTTAATTATAGTAATTTAAGGGTAAGTTATCTTTTATCTGACTGAAAATATGCACGCCATGTTCAAGAACACAACTGACAAACATTTTGCACTTTTGTAAACTAACCACACCTTGCTCTCCCCTCAAAAGAATTTGTTAATGTTTTCAACAGATGATTCCAGGATTCTTGAACACCTTATTCAGCGTCTGGATAAACTTGAAAGATCTCTTTCTGAATTGAAATCATCAAAACAAGAAAWTGGCAAAACTAATCACAGTCAAGGTATTAGCATCCAAATTTTTCTGTGACCCCATGTAGATTTTAAAAATAATTCAGGATTACTTCTYCCAATTCCATCAGGCATAGCTTTCATATAATATTTGTCCTAAAAATTGAGGATTTAATATATTATAAATACTAAAATTATAGTATTTTGTCTGTAATAAACTGCATAAAATTCTATGATTTTTCTCATTTCTCTACAGAAGGTGACATTAGTCAAAGAAAAGAGTGTGCTATCCCTTTAAACTGGAGGTTTCCATTTTGTAAAGAAAAAGTTTTGGTAAGTGTATTATAATGTCAAGACCTAATTAGTAATATTGTCAATAATCAAAATGAATTTTATATACAATAATAAAGTTAATGTATGCAGCTATTTTTGTTGGTTTTGTTTTGTTTTGAATTTTGAAAAAAGTTTTGTTAAAAGTTTGACAGCTTGACTAGTTTTTTTTTCTAATAACTGCTTCTCAATATTCTCTTATCCCTTTTTTGTATTATAATTTTTATTGTTTTAGTGGATGCGAGAAATGTGGAAGTTGCAACCAGATTGCTATGTCAACAAGCATTTAATCAATACAGCTGATGATTGCACAATATTAAGATTTTTTAGTGAGGTAACGATTTGAAATGGGTAGTTCCAAAAAATATCC